GAGCAGGGAGCCCGATGCGGGACTCGATCCCGGGACTCCAGGATCATGACCTGAGCCGAAGGCAGTCGCTTAACCAACTGAGCCACCCAGGCGCCCCTGATTGACACTTTTAAAGGCCACTCTTGTGACTGTGTGGAGGATGGGCTGGAGGGAGACCTGAGAAGAAGCTAAGAAACCAGCTGGGAGGCTATTTCATCCAGGGAAGAGACAACAGGGCCTGGCTTAGACTGGTAGCTGTGGAGGTGGAGAAGAGTAATTGATCTGAAAGACCTCACAGACAGAGGAACAGAAGGCCCCATTGATGGATAGGATGGGGAAGGGAAATAAAAGTCAAGGCCTGCTCCCTAGTTTTTGACTCGAGCAGTATGGTGAGTGGCAGGACTGTTCATAGGGAGGGGGAAGCTCGGGGAAGAGACAGGTGTGGAGCTCTAGGTGTGGAGCTGGATGAACCGGGCTGTGCTTTGGAGCACTTACATGTAGGCACAGCTTACACCCTCCCCCCCCCCGCCCCCCATAGAGGCTGGAGGAGTGGGTGTGGGCAGCGGAGAGCGCCTGGGGTCAGATGGGCCAGCCTCAGATCTCAGATCTGCTCCGATGTGTTGCGTGGCCTTGTGGCACTCAGCTAGCTCCTCTGGGCCTCCGTTTCCTTTTAAAAGCGAGGCTAGTAATACCTCCCAGAACAGGATGTTTTGGCTATTAGACAACGCATCCTTCAAGCACCCTCCCCATTCTGATAGCAGAAATTCAGTGCGTGATCACAGCCGCGATCATGGTTAATGCTGAATGTGGCCCCAGGAGGGCAGGGCCTGGCTCCCTTTCATGCTGGAAGCTTCTCCAGCTAGGACGGTCCAGATGTGGTCGGCTTTAGGGGTGAGGACAGATGCTCTAGGGCTGATGAAGAGCACCCCACCTGGGCCATGTCAGGCAGGGCCAGCAGCCATGTCTCCTTGTCTCCCACTTGCCAGGGTTGCGGGGCACCCCCTTACTTGGGCCGGGTAGGAGCAGCAGACGAGGGGCGCACAGACATGGCATACCGTGTGGTGGCCGATCACATCCGCACGCTCAGTGTCTGCATCGCTGATGGCGTCTACCCTGGAATGTCGGGCGCCCCGTGAGTCTGGAAGGGCTACAGAGGGAGGCAGGGGCTGCTGGGGGGTTGCAGGGGAGAAGAAGGAAGGGGATGGAGAGGTGGGTTGGGTTGAGGTGGCAGGAGGAGTGGGAAAAGGGCAAGGGCTCTGGGATGAGAGCACACACCCTGGACCTTGCCCTCCCCACTCTCCATACTGCTGACCAAGGGTGGCTGGGGGTTCATAGCTGGCCTCTGAACCCCCTAGGCTGGTTCTTCGTCGGATCCTCCGTCGAGCTGTGCGGTTCTCTACAGAGGTGTTGCGGGCACCGCCTGGCTTCCTAGGCAGCCTGGTGCCTATAGTGGTGGAGACCCTGGTGAGGGCAGAGCTAACTCTTCTGGGCATCCCTGGGTGCTCGGGAAGCTTGCAGCTGAGCCCAGATAGTGCCCCCAGCCTAGGTTCCCCATCCTAAATGTCCAGCCCAGGTCCTGTGGGGCTGAGAAAACTGGGATTGCGTACAAGAAGCGGGGAGCCCTCAGGAGGTCTCCTTGCCTGGGCGGCTGAGCCTTTGAGTTTGGGACCCCCTTCTGCCTGTCTTCCCTATTTGGGTCCATTCCCCTTCCATTGGCCTGAGCTGAGCTCCCAAGGCAGGTGTCCTCAGGGAGGCCCAGGGCGGGGAGGTGCAGAGTGGGTAGGTTGCCTTTCACACTTCTCAGCCCTCTACCTCCCTCAGGGGGACGCTTATCCAGAACTACAGAAGAACTCAGCCCAGGTACTGGCTTCAGATGGGGAGGGAGGAGCCGACGAGACAGGTGGAGAGCGGCTGTCCTTTGGAGGAGGCCTAGCTCCAGTCCTGCCCTGCCCCTGTTCAGATAACCAACCTGGTGTCAGAGGATGAGGCAGCCTTCCTGGCCTCCCTGCAGCGGGGTCGGCGGATCATCGATCGGACCCTGAGGCGCCTGGGGCCTTCTGAACCGTTCCCTGGTAAGTAAGGTGCCTAGCCAAGGTGTGAGGGCCTCACTTAGGTGAGCCAGGCAGGCCTGTGCCTAGCATCCACACCCTCCTCCCCCCATGTCCCTCTCCCTGCACTTTCTCCAGCACCCAGACCTCTCTGTAGCTGGACACCACCCTGCTTCTCCCCACTTCCCCACTGCCCAGCTGGCCCTGCCTCCAGTCCCTGCTTCCCAAGGCTGGCTTCATGCCTAGAATGAGCTTCCCTTCGCCTCTGAAATGACAGATGACAAAGGAGTACCCTGGGCTATCCCCAGCTCTGGCCTTAGAGCCTGAAGCCTGACCCCTCTCCTGGACCCACCCGATGTAGGGAGGGGACACTTGTGCTTGGCACCCGGTGGCTTCTGTGTGCTTAGAAAAGCCCTGGCCCTTATTTCTCCCTCATTCCTTCCCCTTCGGTCTATCCTGCCCCTCCCTCCTGAACACCCTTTGTCTTCCTTCCTCAAAGCTGAAGTGGCCTGGTCCTTATCACTGTCTGGGAACCTGGGGCTCCCCCTGGACCTGCTAGAGTTGATGCTGGAGGAGAAAGGGGTGCAGCTGGACTCGGCTGGGCTGGCGCGGCTGGCCCAGGAGGAGGCCCAGGTACAGGCTGGGGCACCCCTGCCCAGGGTTGTGTTGGGACAACCCCGTCCCCAGCCCTGAGTTCCTGGGGGAGGAGCTGCAGCTATTAAGGGCAACAGGAGGCTGAGGTAGGGTCTGTCCCCTCGGCCTGGAGAGAACACTAGTGCAGTGGGCTAAGCCAGAGCAGAAGGGGAGAGGCCAGCGCAGCGTCCTAGAGAGGGGACCTCCAAGGGCAGCAGTGGGTGAGGGGTGGGAGGGAGGCCTGATCCCGAGACCCTGCCTGTTGGGTGGTTCACCGGCCAGCCCAGGATCTCTAGCAGCCAGCCAAGCCCCGACGGCTTATTCCCGAGGGGAGTGCAGGGTCCACACAGCTGTGTGGCAGGGACAGGGCTCTGGGGAGGCTCAGGTCCCATTGCACCGTCCGCGTGCCCCTTGCATGCGCATGCGCCCATCCCGCAGCACAGGTCACGGCAGGCCGAGCCCGTTCAGGAGCAGGGACTGCAGCTGAACGTCCACGCACTGGGGGAGCTGCAGCGCCGAGGGGTGCCCCCAACTGACGACAGTCCCAAGTACAGCTACTCCCTGCGACCCAGCGGGGGTTATGGTGAGAGGCTGGACCGAGGCTGGTGGCCACAGGTGTACGTGGGGGTGATAGGGAGGGATGTCTGCCCTGGGCGCTCCCAGCCCTGGGCATTCCCTGGGGTAGCCCCCAGGGGTCGCTGTGGCTCCTGAAAGGGCCCCGTCCTCCCCAGCCCCGTGCCTGCTGGCTTCAAGGAAGGCACAGACCCACACCCCGGGCCCCACGGCCCTGCCTAGCACTGATAACCATGCTTCTCCCTGGCAGAGTTCGGCACCTGTGAGGCCCAGGTGCTCCAGCTGTATGCAGAGGACGGGACAGCCGTGGCCTCCGTGGGGAAGGGCCAGCGCTGTGGCCTCCTCTTGGACAAAACCAACTTCTATGCTGAACAGGGGGGTCAGGCTTCAGATCGAGGCTACCTGGTGCGGGTGGGCCAGGAGGTGAGCCCCCCACACACACAATTTCTGCCCATGGCAGGCCTGAGCTGGGAAGGGAGCCAAGGGGAGGGAAAAGCTACAACCGTCACTCCAGTGCCTTGGCCCCCCCACCGCCCTTCCCCAGGATGTGCTGTTCCCAGTGGCCCGGGCCCAGGTCTGTGGAGGTTTCATCCTACACGAGGCCGTGGCCCCTGAGGGCCTGAAGGTGGGGGACCAGGTGCAGCTACACGTGGATGAGGTAAGGACCGCACCCCTGATACTCGGGATGTCCTGCAGCCTCTGGGCTCTCCCCACGCCCCAGACTCCTGGGTGACAACAGTGTTTCAGGCCTGGCGTCTAGGCTGTATGGAGAAGCACACGGCCACCCATCTGCTCAGCTGGGCGCTGCGGCAGGCCCTGGGCCCTGGCACGGAACAGCGAGGTTCCCATCTCAATCCCGAGCGCCTGCGCTTTGACGTGGCCACCCAGGTGAGCGGGGCACAGAGAGGCTTCAAGTGAGGCGGCAGGCTTACAGAGAGGTGGTCAGGTGGCAGGGGGCTTTGGCCAGTCTGAGGACCCAGGCCCCCTGTCACTCAGTCACTGTGAGGCCATGGGGGGCGTCTTGCCCTCAGGCTCCTTGCGCACGGCGGGGCGGGGGGGGGGCCAGCCAGACAGTGTCCAGAGCCTTCCTTCCACCTCCAGCCACCCAGCTTCCTTGTTGCTGCTGTCACCCAAGCCCTATCTTGCTCCAACTGAGCTGCCCTCCCTTCCCTGCCGCCCTGGCTCCCTTTCCTCCTCACACATCGGGCTCCGTCCTTGCTCCCACATCCCCCTGTCCCGGGTTTCTCTTCCATTGGGCCACCCCTTGTTGTGAGCTCCCTTGGTACAGAAGAGCATGTTCGTTTCTTCTAACTTTTAGTGCGTAATGAAAGGCCTGCAGTTGCCAGCAGGCCCCACTAAGGAAAAGAATTGTCTGCTCCACCAAGGTTGAGTGAGCACCGCTATGTGCTAGCCACTGTTTTAGCACCTGAGGGTAGTCCGTGAACAGACTGCTTCTTACCGCATCAGTTACAGGCATGGGGCTGACCTGTCAGTCTGTCCATCTTCCCCCCACCCCACCAGGCTCCACTGACCCCCAAGCAGCTCCGGGCAGTGGAGGGCGCTGTGCAAGACGCCGTGGGGCAGGACGAGCCAGTGTACATGGAGGACGTGGCCCTGGCACGCACTGCCCGTGTCCCTGGCCTGCGCTCTCTGGATGAGGTGAGTTGGGGAGCCCCCCGCTTGGTGAAGATCATCTGCCCCCTGCCACACACCCACGCACACCCACACCCCCCCACACACACACACGCTGGTTAACAGACTTGTCCCCGTACACCCTCAGGTATACCCAGACCCTGTGCGGGTGGTGTCAGTGGGGGTGCCTGTGGCCCGTGCGCTGGACCCAGCCTCCCAGGCTGCACTGCAGACCTCTGTGGAGCTGTGCTGTGGGACGTGAGTCACTCCTGCCTGCCTGTCCTGACCCGGGGCCCCCGGATCCTCACCCCCCTTTGGTCTCTGGAGCCCCCAGCCCCTGGTTCGGAGCTTCAGCTGCTCTTTCCTATCCCAGTGTTCTCACTGACTTCCTTGTCCCTCCCTCTGCCCGCAGGCACCTGCTGCGCACAGGGGCTATAGGGGACCTGGTCATCGTTGGGGAGCGCCAGCTCACCAAGGGCACCACCCGCCTGCTGGCCGTCACTGGGGAGCAGGCCCAGCAGGTTGGCGTGCCAGCAGGGTCTGGGAGGCCGCTGGATGCGGGGGGCACACAGTTGACACTCTCAGGCTGGGCGACGCCAGCAGCAGAAGCAGTGTTCGCACGGGTGTGCGGATGGGGCTGTGCCGGCTGCTGGCCCCCGGTGTGATTATCTGCTGCCTTGATTGATCCTGATGGTTCAGTATTTCTAATTTGGCCCCGACTAGCAATAGGTTGAGAGCCCCTGTGCTGGGGAGGCGAAAGTAAGCCGAGCAGCCCCGAGCATCCTGTTCCATCCCCCGCAGGCCCGAGAGGTGGGCCAGAGCCTGGCCCAGGAGGTCGAAGCTGCCACAGAGCGGCTGAGTCGGGGCAACCAGGATGTGGTGGCGGCTCAGAGACTCTCCAAGGACATGGGACGACTTACTGATGTGAGGGTCACCCCTACCGCGGAGCGGCTCCCCACCCTCTCCTGGTCCTCTTCCCTTCCCCGTGCCTCCCCAGACCCTTCCTGTCACTCCCCAGGCTTCCTGCTGGACTCCAGCTGGCCTCGATGTTTGTCTGCCCCGGGGGTGTGTGTGTGTGTGTGTGTGTGTGAGTGAGTGAGTGATGTCAGGGCCCGGCTCATAGGCTTCTGGCGGTAGGCGGTGGACACGGCTGTGATGCCCCAGTGGCAGCGGCGGGAACTTCAGGCCGCCCTGAAGGTGCTGCAGCGGCGTGCCAACGCGGCCGCCCGGAAGCTGGAGCTGCGGCAGGTGAGAGGCGGCTCCGCAAGGGTCAGAGCCGCTGCAGCAGGCACGCTGAGAAGCCTCCGGGCCTCATATGGCCGGGGCGGGGGGGGGGGGGGGGCAGCTCCTCCCTCTCCCGCCAGCTGGGCACCATCAGCAGGCCATCCCCCCACTTCCCTCTCTGCCAAACTGTGCCTCTC